GTACCACTCCATAACTCAAGTTAATAGCAAAGCCTCAAGTAGTGACTTATTCCCCTTGAAGGTTGTGTGAGACATAGGAATATGGAAATGGAGCTGGGAATTTGGTAGCATGGGTTGCATAAGTAGAGCTACGCAGTACGTACGTAAATATCTCCACTCGTACTCTGTGTATACTTTTCAAAACCCCAGTAGAACGCATCCCATTTGCTTGAATCGCCTGAGTCACTTTCGATGCAGTTCCCTTCAAGGCAGCACTAGGATGGTCTCCACTGGCCACAAAATTGTGGTCTACTGAACGTTTTTATGTCTCTTGGAGTACGCTGATGCTATCGTCTGCATAGTTAAGTTTTTTTATTGGAACGCCAGTGTGGGGGTTGAAAGCACTATCTCCCAGCCATCTTTGATTAGTCGTTTATGGACAAATTCACGCTGGTGCAGCCTTTGGGCAGTCTTAAGAGGGTTTCATCACGCCGCATACTCTTCTTTCATCCAGCGCGATCATTTGAAGCCCGCGTCGAACTTCGTTTTTATGTGTGTTTAGACCTGTGTAGGTAAAATGTCGCTAATACACTAATTGTAAGTAATTTTTGTGCTGCATTCTTTTTTGTCCCCACTTGAGATTTGGCTCCTACCTTTTGCTTTCTTAGTAGGTAGAGGACATGCTAGTCTGGAAGTAGGTATAAAGTCAATGTATAGAGGGGCGAAAGTGGCCTAAATGGCACAAAGAAAGCTTCAATCTACTGGTGTGGGATCCAATTTCTCTGCATAATCACTTCATATACCTTCAACTTGTAGGCATCTTCATTCTTACTATCTGTGGATGTCTTTGTGGCTGCCTTAGAGTGCTTTCTGTGTGCTTAAACTGTCCAAGCTATTTTTGCCATTTCTTTCCATGTTGAATCAGCTTAGCCTCAGCTGACAATAAAATCAAGGACTAGTGAGTACTTTTTCATTCTCATTTAATCCAGTTAAAGCCAAAATTGTTCGGTGTTAAGTCCACTCAACTATGCTATTGTGTGTTTCCGTTTCGGCGGATTACCGTGCCGAAACTTATTCCGTCTGGAGTGCTCCGTTGAACCTGAATCGCACCTTTTTCTGTCTGTGGAGAACTAGCTTAAATGCATTTATGAGACATTAAAATGCTGTTCTGCTTTCAGGCATAACAAGGAGGTGCTAAGTACACCATGCAGTACCTTTCATTTAGCCACATGACGTAAATCTCAATATGGTCTCTGAATTGTCTCTGAGGGTCTTGCGGTGCGTACAATTCTGGCAGCAGCTCTATTACTTGCATGTAGAACAGGAAAACTGGTGACACTAGTGACTCGAGTGTTGCCTTATACCAATTTCTGGGCTAGGAATGGTCCATCCATTTCACTATATGCATTTAAAATAAGGTGTTTTTCCACCACCATCTTCGAATCAAAAACGACTTAGTCTTTAAATTACTTAATGTTGCTTTTAGATACCCTATAGCACGCAAAATTAACTCGTTGAAGTGCTTTGCCACTTATACTTGCATGTGATTAGATGCCGTGGCGTTCAAGTCATCCTTGTGGCGGTTACCAGACATGCAGATCTGGAAGTAGCTTGATTGCGAGCATGCAGAAGAGCCGGAACAATGGAAGCATGGGTTCCGGGGTAGACTGTGGAATGACTCGCTCCATTTTGCAACAGCATTTCATAGGGTATTCAGTCCTTTTAGGCACCCGTAAAAAACTATCACCCCATTTTACTTCAATTTCGCAGTTGGTGAAATGCAATGCTTCTGTTACTTCTGGCTTTTCCACTCTCATCTACCCTTTGTCGATGTTAACCGCCGTTTTCGCACTCTTTTCTCACAGGCGGGAAGTGGTATACAGAGATCCTCCACGAGGACTCGCTGAAAATCGACGATTTCAATCACAAAGTCAAGTGAGTCGCACTTCTCACCTTGAGCCAAGTTGTATGCTTACTTTTGAATCACGTCTCTTTATAAATTTCCTATTTTTATCTTCAAAATAATCGGTGGTGTCTTCTTGTAGAGATTTCGCACTGCCTGGATCGTACCGCCACTTGGTTGTGAAACCGGAGGATGTCCACTATGAAATCCGCGAGTACACAGATTCACAAAAACCGCTGGTGCAGAGCGACTACGCCAGAATGACTACCACCGAATCGGCTTCTGTGGATGGGGCTTCATCTCCTTCTAAGGAGGAAGGTAGGGTTTTGAACCGCTTTTGCCCCATTGAACGGAATAATATGTGACTCTCTGGAATGCAAAATCTGCCTTCTTACTGCATTCTGGCTCCTTTTTACTTCTCAACTTAACCTCTCTTAAGGTACTTTTGAAATTAATTAATGAGAGATCCAACTTTGTCAGCTGACAAATTTTGGGTCTCCTAATGTTACTTGTTTTGGTTATTGCGAATGTTCAGCGCCTCCTGTTAAAACGCGTCTTGGAATGTGACTGTAGATTTTCAAGTGTTCTACCCTGGGAGCTGCATTTTGAAGCAGTTTGTCTATCCACCAGGCCGGGATATGTGTCCACTTCTTAAAAGCTGCAAAAAACAGCCTCTTGTGCAGCTTTCACCATTTTCCACTCAACCGCTTTTGCTGCTAAATTGGACACTTTCTGCTTGAAGGCATGTTATTGCTCATATTATCTTGATAGCCACTCTAATGCCGCTGCCCGTTTTTTCCCTTTTCAGCTGCCGGTGATGCCGATGACATCGGTAGGCATGATGCACACCTCCCCCTCATGACCCTCTTCTGTAATGATCGTCTCAAATAGCTGCCCGTTTTGTGTTCCAGAAAAGCATCGAGCTCTCGTGCTCGAATTCACGTTGCCCAAGGCCGCTTACGCCACGATGGCCATCCGCGAGTTGATGAAGGACGTCACTGTGGTACAGTGAGGGGAATGAAGGATGAAGTAGTCAGATAAATCGTGTCATGTTTAAATTTCCCATTTTATATGCATGTATTAATTCCCATTAACCCGTTTCGGTGTCTTCTTTCCTGTGTGGGGGACTGCAGGCATTCAATGTCCCACAAGTCGGGTAACATCCTCAGTCGCCGCGTCACCATTATAGCCGTCTTATGTCAGAACCACGCATTCTATTGAACAACTCATCTTTTCACAACGATCGATTTTATTTGATCGGGTCTTTGCTTTCTTGGTCAATTTCTCTGATTGCATCTGGGCTGTGCAGTCTCCCGAGTAGTTTCTCTACTCGACAAAACACTCGGCACCTTTTCAGGAACTTTGACATTGGTTTTAATCAGATTGACACTTCGGTGTTACGGCTTCTATTTCACCCATTGACAGGATGCAAACGGTTGGATCTGCCAGTGTTGTCAATTCGTGGTGTGACTTCGTCAAGTGTCTTTCATGGCCCACTGAATGTGAGTATTACTTGGACACGATATTTGATGGCTTGTGACATCACTAAGGTTGAGGACCAGAGGTACTCCTAGAGCTATTCGTGGTCTCAAACTTGGCTGGTTGTAAGTCAGTGGAGGGTGTCACTGCGGCGCATTGGGCAAAGACTGATAGCCGTTCAGCCTTCTGCAATCGCTTCCGAGATGTCGCAGTTCCCACTCAGCGTGATTGTTATTATTTGCACCGTTTTATTCTCCTTGTGGACTCCCAGACGACTCATACACTGTCCTCGTGACCTACCCATTGTTATGGGCAGAAGGCGTACCAGTTTTCTTTTTGCTGGGCTCCACTTCATTGAATGTGGATCGCCTCCCTCTAAAGCGGTGCTGCTGGTAGTGTTTAGGAAAATGTTGCTTTTAAAATGTTCTCAGTTTTGGGCAATTAGCAATTCATGGAGGATAATAAGTCTTGATCCGCACAAGGTTTTTTGTCCCTAGATTGTGGGTGGTTTTTAAAGCATCGACTAGGTTTTGTTGACCATTGTAGATGGCCGGAGCTAAACAGGAGTGGGGAGCTGTGTAACAGCACCATTTGCTTTAGCTAAGCCGGTACTCTAGTCACCATGGGTCGTGATGCCGTCTTGTTGGCATGGACTCTTGTCCGTGTCTATGACCTCCAACCTTTCTGTATTGGCAGCACACCTTAAAGGGGACTAAGTATTCGAAAATTTGAATTAGATCGACTACTATTATTATTGACCCATCTCCAATTCTGCCTCGAGGCAGGCTGAAGCAAAAGTGATCGGGGGGAGAGCCGATATCGGCGCTTCTGTAAGCTAATACTTTTTCGCATATCTTCCAAGTTAAAGATAACTGACACCAATTCTTGTGTACTTCTTGTCCCCTTTTCCAATTCTGTTACTGCTGACTAGGTTGCTGTTGGCCGCTTCAATTGCGATAACACATGACAACTTGTGCATCATCCTACTGGTGTCGCTACACCTGCCCTCAACGGAGCGGCACTATTCCTGCCCATTTACACCTTGGCGAATGCCTTTACCTTAAAATGAGAATCAAAACATTTCCAAAGTCTCTTCACATTATAGCAACTACTGCGAAATCAATGGTAGTGCAGGGAAGTGTTCAAGATGTTCAGAAATCAGGAGGTAAGGGAGTTCAAACTATTCGGTACGCAGTCATGCTGACAGCAATTACCGAGTTATTTCTTTCACATTAGATATGCAATCATACAGCAGAAAACGTGGAAAAATGTTTAACTGTTTCCTATTAAAGGGATATGTACCTGCCGCAGTTCATTTGGTAATCACAATTCTCGTAAGTGGTTTTTCTCTGGAAAACTATGTAGCCATCGAACAAGACTTAGTTATATCCACTGCCTCTATGTTATTTACTGCCATTTTTGAAGTGCGTTTAATTATAGATTTGTAACCTTTCTCGTTCATCCAAAAATTTCAATGGATGCAAAGTTTTATAATTGAAAGGATGCAAATGTGTACTTTACACATCGCTTTAAACGTACTGTGTCACTTCGGCGGCTACTCGAAGGAAAATGGACGAAGATTACGATATCGTTATTTTGGGTACTGGACTAAAGGTATTGGTTTTACTTCATTCTCTTCTAACATCCCCATCTTCTTCTTTTAGGAATGCATTCTGAGTGGACTTATGTCCGTTGCTGGCAAAAAGGTTCTTCATATGGATAGGAACAGTTATTACGGTGGTGAAAGTACTTCCATTACTCCGCTCGATGAACTCTTCAAGCGCTTCAATAAAACGTGTCCTGGTGAACAGGTCTACAAGCGTCTGCGAGATTGGAATGTTGATCTTATCCCAAAGTTCCTCATGGCCGATGGGAAACTCGTGAAGCTTCTTCTCCATACGGGTGTGACACGTTACCTCGAGTTCAAATCTGTTGGAGGTAGTTATGTATACAAGGGTACCGTTGATTCCGGACGAATCTGCAAAGTTCCTAGTAATGAGCGCGAGGCGCTTTCCTCAGGTACTTAAAACTGTCTAGTTTCATCGTTTAGATCTCATGGGTATGTTTGAAAAGCGCCGCTTCAGGAAACTACTCATATTCACGGATGGTGTTGATGAAAACAAGCCTGATACTTGGGGAGAACTGCCCTTGAATAAATGCACGATGCAGGCCGTATTCGACAAGTTTGGGGTTGATAACAACACTCAGGTGTGTTCCTGGTATGCCTCTTATTGTATTACTCCGACGTAAAGATTCTTATGGTATCGCATTTGCCGAGATAGTAGAGGCAGTTTTCACGACTTACGTATGTTGCATTAATTAGTTATAAAAACACCCATTTTCTATAATATTCAATTTTTTGCTTTCTATCATCAAAGGATTTCGTCGGTCACGCTATTTGCCTCTATCGCAATGATGATTACAAGCGCAATTTGTGTGCTCTGGACGCAATTAGGCGAATGAAGCTCTACAGTGACTCACTGAGTCGCTATGGTTCCTCTCCCTACCTCTACCCCCTCTATGGGCTGGGCGAACTGCCTCAAGGTTTCGCGCGTCTTTCTGCAGTTTATGGGGGCACCTACATGTTAAACAAGCCCTTTGAAGGGTTTGTCATGGAGAACGGCAAGGTTGTTGGTGTGAAATCGGAGGGTGAGGTGGCCAAATGTTCCAAGGTTATCTGCGACCCCAGCTATGCACCTGATCTTGTTCGGCAGGTTGGGAAGGTAATTTGCGGCCTTCATTATTATCCTCGTCGTATTGTGGGCCTTTTATTTTGTTTCCTATCCCGCCTGTAACGGTAAATCCGTAAATGTGTTTCCACTTGTCTCAAGCTTTGTGTATTTTATTCTTCTGACAGGCATCGATCTCCTAGGGTTT